AATACAAAAGGAGAATAAACTCCTCTTTGTTTGACAATCAAGTAAAAGCTTACTTTATTTCATTTTCTTTATATAATTCTTCTTTGTGTTTTATTTTTTTTCTTTTATTCTCACTTGTTCTTACCAAAATTCTAAAAAAAATCTAATCTTTATGAAACTTTAAAAAAGTTTTTTCCTTTTTTTCTTTTCATTTTACTAATAAAAATTTAATTTTATAAAATCCTAAAACTCTAACATTTTTTTCAAAATTCTAAAAATTTAATCTTGTGAAACCCTAAAAAATTAAACTTTTTAACTTGAATTTTCTTTTAAAACTCCAAATAAATATTAAACTTTTTTTCCAACCCTAAAAAATTTGAACTTTTTAACCTAAATTTTCTTATACAAAACTCTAAAAAATTAAACCTTTTTCCAATCCTAAAAAAATCAAATATTTTTCCAACCTTAAAAAAATTGAACTTTTTAACTTAAATTTCTTATACAAAACTCTAATAATTAAATTTTTTTCCAACCCTAAAAATATAAAACCTTTTTTCAATCCTAAAAAAAATTGAACCTTTAAACCAAAATTTTCTTGTAAAACTCTAAAAAATTTAAATGTTTTTCCAATCCTTAAAAAATCAACATAAATCATTTCTTTGTAGATTTGAGTACAAAGGTTTTGTAGACGTGTTTTCAAATATTCCTTTAACATTTCATCCAAAAGAAATAGTTCCTTAAATACAATGAATTTTTTTAAAATTCTCATTTCTTGAATATCATTCAAGAGAAGTTTATATTGCCTAATATTCTGTCAATTAATAAACCACGATTCTAAACTTTTCTTAAATGTAAACGAGATACGTCATGGATGAAAAGACTATAAATATAATATATAGAAGAGAAATGAATATTTTCTCTTTTTTTTAAACCCTAAAAAAATTGAACTTTTTTAACCTAAATTTTCTTTTAACCCTAAAAAACAAATCTTTTTTAATTTTAAAAAATCAAACTTTTTTTAAAACCCTAAAAATCTAATCTTTTTAACCTTAAAAAACCTTGAACCTTTTTTAAACTATAAATCTAACATTTTCAATCCTAAACACCAAACATTTTCTTAACCTAAAAATTAAACCTTTCTTAGACTTAAAAATCAAATTTGTTCCAATATTAACAAAAAATTATTTTTTTGGGTTCATTTTTTTACATCAAAATATATACATTTTTTGTTTTCTTTTTTCTTAAAAAAAATGTTTGATCCACACAACAACTAAAATATGCTGATAGAATAATAAATTCAACTTTAATAGCTTTTGGATCGTAAGGCTTTATTGAGTAATATGGGCTAACATGAATGTACGAGTGAATTTATTTCTAAAATAAAAAAATTTAATATTTTAAAAATAATTTTGGATCTACGCGACAGCCAAATGATGTTGATACAGTGGTAGATCCACTTTAAATATTTTTTTTATTGTAAGAGTTTATTGAGGAGTTGAGTGTTAACTTAAATTCTATGCAAGAGTGAGTTGATTTTAAAAACAAAGAATTAAAGATAATAATTTTTTTAAAAAAAATATTTGAAACCTATCCAAAAATTGAATTTTAAAAACATAAAAACTTGTGTAATTTTGATTTCTCCATTGCCTTCAGGAGATACATAAGAGCGAAAATTTAACTTTCAAGACATCATTTTTTAAAAAAAAATTCTCAAATTTTAAACTTTAAAATACATTTTTTATATACTTTTTCTATATAAAAAGACTAAAATAATTCCAGGATTTTCTTTTTTAAGAAAAATAAAAAAAAGGAAATTAAAATATAGTAATAAATTCAAAAATAGAAAAAAATAGAAATTATTTTCTTTTAGAGTAAAATAAATATTTCTAAAATTAAAATAATTTTGTCCAATTAATTAGAAGGTAATTGGTTTATTTAACAAATATGATAGGGTATTAATACCAACTTGTAGACGACTGTCAAATTCAAATTTAGTTTTAGAAATTTTTTTTTAATATAAATTTTTTTAATATTTTCTTTAATAAACTTTAGTAGGACTCTCTATCATTAGTATTTGTTTAAGTTGATGACAAACTTCTTTTATAACTTTTTTTTTATAAGCAGTCTTGTCCTATCGTAACTCCAATTGCAACATTCCAACTCTTCAATATATAGAGATCCTTCAATTTATCTTTTTCAATATTTAATTTTATATTTAACAATATACTAATTATGTCCTAAAGTAAAATTAAATATTTTGAATAATAATATTTAAATTAAAATATTGAATATATAGTGGACATACTAATAATTTTATTTGATCATATAATATTTTATCTAATTGATCAAACTTTTTTTTTTTGTCAAATATCTAAATGAATATGTAAAAGTTAAATTATAAATTTATAAAATGCATTGTTTCATTGAAAGAAAATAAAAAAGAAAGAAAAAGAGGTGAACAAAGTTTATAGAAATAGGGGTATGGCAATTAAACTTCCACGTAATTTCCTTGCACCCTTGCCATGTCCTTTCCTTTGCAAAGCTTCATCAATGGATGCCCTTCCCTCTCTCCACATGTTTTTTTCCTTTTCTTTCCTGTGGTACTTTCAGCACCTCCCTTCCTCTCCATGTAAGTATTTTTTTTTTTAGAGTTTTGAGTATAGACTTAAAGATTTTATTACTGAAGTTACAAATCTCTTTCATTAGTATTCAAATTTTGTAGACTTACATTTTTTTTACGGTTTTGAAATAGTCCTTTGAAGTGAATTAATTAGTTTTTATTGGTTATCAGTAGATAATGATCACATTGACTTATTTTAATTATTATTTTAATTATTTGTTATATTATTGTTGCTATAAAATTATATATTTGGGGGAAATAAGTTTAAAATTTACTTTTTATATATAAAAGTTTATTGTGATATAAATTTTGTTAAATTGTATGAGTTTAATTGTAAAGTATGAATTGAATAATTAATTTTATTTTATGGTATTTAATTATGAGATATATGCATTGAGGTTTTTATCATTGAAAAATAAATTTAATTTATACATGAGAATGACTTTCTGTGATATAAATATTCTTAGGAGAAGTTATGATAGAATGCAGAAATAACAACCTAGGTGCATCTAGTTATACTTTGAAAAGAGAAAATTACTTGTTAAATGGAATTATGAGTGCACATATGTACTAATGAGGTAGAGCTGCCCTCGTCAAGATGAACTATGACATGATATACGCCAAGAAAAATCTATCAATGAAGTAGAATCACCTTATATTGATGCCTACTTTGATAATGTTTTAAAAAATTAATATGATTTAATTATGGTATATGTGTATTTTATTATAATACTTACGATTGAAATGATATTTTTTAATAGTATAAATTTATAAAATTTTTAGCATAATCTTATTTATGATAAAGTGCTTAAAATAAATTTATTTTAAAATTGTATGTTTTAAGTAAGTTTTATAATTGTGAACTATTCTTTTGATATTTGTATTTTTTGTTCATTGTAGTTATTATGCCATTGTTGAGTTCGTGTGACTAATCTTTTATTTATTTAATGTTTATATAACATCAAATAGCAAAGTTGTAGGTTATTAAGGCATTAATATTTTTTTTTATTTTTGTTATGTTTTAAACATCTTATAACTGTTTAGAAGTTAACCTTTTTTTTCTTACAACTTTTTTATTTTTAATATATTTGATGTTCTAATTTTAATAATATAATATGTTAGAGTTTGATTAATTTTGATTGAGTTATAAATAAATCTTAATAAATTATCATATTTTGAAATAATAAAAATATAGAAGATACTTTGTCGAAGTTTTAACAAATTTGTTATATTAATTAAATTTTTTTTTTATCTCATGTATTAGTTTTTAAATATTTAAATAGTGTTTGCAGATAACTTAACTTTTGCGCCAGTGATCCATCTTCGGATCGTGGTAATTTAACTGACTAAATTGAAAAGAAAAGTCTATTATTTAATTACTAAATAATATTTGATTGTATATCTTTTATATAACAAACATTAACACCATACTCTTTTGTTCAACATTCATCACCGATAACACATTTAATAACAAAAAGATTGTAAAATTATTCAAGACAATATTTGATCGGATTAATTAATTAAAATGTTGAAATTAAGACTATTGAATAACTAATTAGGCAATAAATTAATTCCAGGAAGAAAATAAATTTGACGAAAAATAACAATATATATAATTAACTTTTTTTTATCTCATATTACTTTTGATGTTATTTTGATAGGTTAAGTTGGATTGGATTTGTTGAAAAAAATTTCTGAACCTGAATAAAATATAAGTTAGGTTCGTTCAATTTGTTTTTTCTTTCTAATTTTGGACATGTGATTGGAATAAACCTAACTTGATCATAAACAGGTTGATTCGGGATAGGTTATTATACTTATATTTAAAAATGAAAATGCAATCGATCAAATTAAATTAATTTTTTTTTATCAATACTTATATAAAAAATCTTAATTTAGATCAGTCAGATTCATAGATTCATCAGCTATACACAATCATCGCAACCAAAAAAACTATTACACTCGATGGGCATTATTACAGCCCTATCACTACATTTTATTGTTTCAAATATTTAAATATAAACTTTAATTTTAAAACAAAAAATTATATTCAAATTTAGTTGTTTATAGTTTCATATTCTTTGTCCCATCAAATTGGGCAATATCTCATTGCAAATTTGTCAATTATTAGGTCAGCCAATTAACTCAACTACATCTACCGGTAGCCATCATCAAATGTTAGTTTTTAAGGTATGCATTTATGCCATGCTTAATCCAATAAATATTAATTTTTTAGAGTGATTAAACTTATTTTTTTACAATAATTTAATTCCTTAAGAAATAAAATATGCTATTTTTTAAAACATTTAAAATAATTATACATATTTCAATTTATATTATTTAAATTCTTAGTTAATTATACATACATTGTTTATAGTTTTTAACATTTTTAAATTTGTGAATTTCATATTTATATCCAATTTTAAAAATATCAATGGAATACACGTGTAGTTACCACTTGTAACTTTTATGATAAATTTATATTTACAAACTTTCCAAGGGATTTTTAAATTTATACCAAGTCTACACCGAAATCACAGGTTGCATTGTGGCATTGGCCAATGACAGGGAGGAAAGAGAACGAAGGAAGTGAATATTTTGCAAGCTGAATCTTTGATGACTCTGTAAATGAATCCGTTAATTACCTTTGAAAAACATTTACTCACAACGCAAGAGATTAAGAATGAAGGTCTTTACTGCATGTTTGTATCAGCTAATTATGCATGGAATCAATAACCAATTCAGGAAAAATCAGAATGCATAGTTTGAACTAATGCGGAGTCAAAATATTACCAATCATATGCCCAGGTGTTCTTCCCTTGGTAAGCTTTGAACAGTATCTGACCATCTACCAGGAGAGTGATCACTACTGTTAGATGATACATGAGCTTCCCCTCTTGCATCTCTTATCATCTTTAAAACTTCTCTCATTGTAGGCCTATTCTCTGGCACTAGCGAAACACATGACATTGCAATGTTCAAAAGAGCCTGAAGCTTCTCTTCAGATGCTTCATTGCCTGAGGAAGGTTCATCCCCAGACTCGGTCTCTTCTTCGCGCACCGACCGAACCCACCTAGGAATATCTGAACCATATGTCTGAACAAGGTCTTGGAAGGGTGTTTTGCCAGTCAAAAGCTCAAGAAGAAGGACACCAAAGCTGTATACATCAGCTGGTTGGGTTTGTGACCTTTGAAAGCTGCGGCATTCGGGTGCTCTATAGAATAAAGAAGTGGCACTAGGCTCATCCATTGAGTCAGGATTAAGGAACACTGTGAGACCATAATCAGTAAGACAGGACTCAAAGTCAGAACCCAGCAACACATTGGAAGATTTAAGGTTTCCATGTGTCAAGCCAGAGGTCTGATGGATATAGAGAAGGCCAGTTGCTAGATCTTCTGCGATTTTAAGGCAGGATGTCCAGTGAAGAGGCTTTCCCCCGCCAGATGTTTTTGATCCTGTAGTACAGTCATCACAGCAGGTCTTCTGTCAATTATTAGTTTGAGAGCATTGTTATGATGCAGAAATTTTCAATTTTTTTCTTCTTATTAGCATGTAGAAATGATGCAAGTGTTGTTATTAGTTTCATCCATAGCCTATTAGCACATAGTGCTTTTTATAATGCTATATTGGTTTTAAAATCCTGATTCTTCCAAAAGGCTCAAGTAACAAATACTAAAAGTTTCAATCACATTAGGAAAATCAATTGCTAAAATAATAATAATAATAATGACTATGATGATGATGTAGAGCTAAATGCAACAGATATGTAAGTTTTACTTGCACAATTTAATCACCAGAGGCTAGCTCAAACATGGCATCTGTCTACCTTTTCTATATTCTGAGTTATCAACATACAACTTAGTACTTGCAAAAAGACTAGTTTACAAGGATTTTATATAGAAAATACAACAGCACAGTACGCGTGAAGAGAAAAAAACAATAGTTTCGAGCCAGCAGATACACACGTGAGGATTCTTGCAATTGGAATGATTGATTAGTTTTTTATTATTCCACCATTATTTCTAATAGAAAAAGAAAGCCCGACTTCTTGATATGGTAGCAAGAAAGCATATTATCTCATCCTTTACACAAATGAACAAGGGGCTGCTCCCTAGGAATAATGCTTATCCTTTTCTCACAAATACTAAACTTTTTGCATCATCGTGCGAATATAACACTTTTTCTCTTAAATATCTACAAATAATGTAACAGTTGTGGGAACACTGTTGTTTATCCAACATTTTTCCTTCATCTTTTACGTTGGAAAATAATTGCCATAAAGGACTAAGGATTCTGTAAGGTTGCTTATGGTTGGCTATTAAATTTTAGAAGGGGCAATTCCTAAAGTAAAATATTGAATTCAACATGCTCCCATGCTCAACACCAACGGGTAAACTAAATCTTTATTATTGAAATACAGATATCAGCTACCATATTGAAAATATTTCAACTGTGCCATCGTCTTTTAAAATAAAATAATTTTAAGTAAAAACAAGGAAACATTATAACCACAATGATCCTTATAATAGTGATGCAACTCTACCATTTATAAACTGTGATGGCCTTGATGGGCTATACGGAAGAAATGGTGAGAAAATTTCCAAGGGAATTATGAAATTTTGAACATGATAAGACTAAAACTGAATATATGGCCTAATTTGACGTCGATTAAAGTTCGGATTAAGTCACTGTACAAGTACATGGTAGTACACTAAAACTCAAATTCAACTCATTTTAATTTTTCAATAGTTGAGTGAGACAACACTAACATGGGGTCACGCTCATAAATGTGTTGTCAATTTAAGAGCACACATATTCATAAAGTCTGATATTACATTAAACAGTTAGACAGGGAAAGCAACACCTTTTGTCCTATTTTAACCAAATCCATGCGAGAGGAAAAGATTAGTGCATAGACATAAATGGAGGCCCCCCATTACCAAAAGATAATAATCTTTTAGGTCAATCTCAGCCTCCCTTTCTAGGACCAAACTACGTTCATATAATAATAGTTACATGATTTAAATGCCCTTCCACACGAAAAATCACTATCTAGACTTGCAATGTATGCTAAACTAACTATGCTGACATATTATTGTTTTCTATTTAATAATTATTTAGCACTAGAAACATTTTAACCCCGTGCCCCTTTTCACTTTATTTGGATTATTTATTTAATGGAAAAGAAGAAAGTAACTAGTGAAGAAACAGAGTCTCAAATTGCATACCTACTATCTATTACTAGTGCTTAAGGAATCAGACAGGGCAGTGGGATCCTATGATTTAGTTTGGATTAGAAAAAATCAGAATTAAAAGAAAATGAAAAGGTTGTAAAGAAAGAAAGAAACATACCGTGAATGAGGGAGAAGAGGCTGCCATTGGGGAAATAATCATAAACAAGAAGACGTTCCTCTTTGGCCTGAAAATAAGCTCTGAGTGGGACCAAGTTAGGGTGTCTGAGTCTCCCTAACACCTCAATGTGTGCCCTAAACTCCTCTAAAGCAGGGTACCTAGCATCTTTCAACCTCTTCACAGTAACTATGAACCCAGATTCCATCACTGCCTTATACGTACTTCCCATAATACCCCTACCCAATGTCTCCGCCGAAGCCTTCAGCAAATCCTCCAAACTGTAACTCATCTCCCGATCCCCTCCGCCGCAGAACACCAACTTCCCTACACCCTCACTCTCCCACGCGAAAACCCCATCTTTCCCCTCGTTGCTACCGCCACCTTCTTCTCTTCCAACCGCAACAACTTCACCTTCCGCCACGTCACCACCCTTGCTCCTCGTTCCAGAACCCACCCTCTTCCCCCGCTTCTTCCCAATCACCCACACCACACCTAAGCATAATATAAACAGCATAACAGCCCCTCCAACGCTCCCTCCGATTATCTTTATCAGTTTCGTGCGGTTCGATGACGTCGACGTTTTCGCTTTCCCCGGAATCAGAGGATAACTAGGGCTTACCGATGGTGGCAACGCAATGCTCGTGCTTCTGCATGGTTGCTCGATCTGCTCTCCGCACAGCCCTGGGTTTCCCTCAAACGACGACGCATTGAATCGGATCAATGCAGGGGTCACCGGAATCTCGCCGGAGAGTCGGTTGTTCGACACGTTCAGGTACCGGAGCCCGGTTTGGTTGAAACCCGGGATGTGTCCGGTGAACATGTTGTCCTGTAAGTAGAGGATGTAGAGGCGCCGGAGCTTGAGCAAGGACGCCGGGATGTCGCCGGAGATTTGGTTCCCGGATAAAACGACGACTTTGACTCGGTGGAGGAGGGAGACGGAGGGGGGGAACTCGCCGGAGAAGTTGTTCTCGTTGAGGAATATTGATTTGAGGTTGACTAAGGCGGAGAGGTCGGGGATTTGACCGGAGAGTGAGTTTCCTTTGAAGCTGAGGACTCGGAGTTGATCCAAACGGTTCAAGATCTTTGCCTCCAAAGTGCCGGTTAGGTTGGAGTGTTCCAGAACTAGCTTCCTCACTTTCCCGTTGAAGCAGTCTCTGACACCTACCCACGTGCACACGTCGCTTCCTGCACGCCATGGAAGCTTGTTGAGAACGTCTATGGAGGATTTGAGTGCCAGAAGCGCTTGGGAATCGTCGTCTTCTGATCCGGTAGGTTGGGACAGTAAGAGACAAAGCGCGGAGACAAGAACAAACACAGAGGATCTCTCCATGTTAGGAGGAGAATGAGAACGGGGACCAGCTTGTAATCACTGTTGCAATTGCAATTGCAATTTGCAATATGCAAGCAAGCTCTCTCACCTGTTTTGGTTCCCCATAATGAGAGACACTGTGTGGAGAAGATATGAGAACACTTTAATGCATGAGAGTGTTAACTGACCCACTTAAATTAGCTGAAAAACGGTTGGGACAGATCTTGGTTTCCTTAGCTGTTTGGTCTTCGAACTCACTTTAAAGCCTTCAGATCTACCATATGCATATGCATGCTTGCTCAAAGGGACCTACAAAACCCTCTCTTATGACTCATGAGACCTTGCTAGCTAGAATCTTGTGCTACTACTCTTTTTCTGACCCGAACTTGAAATGGGGTTGAACAAAATCATGGTAGTGTGTGCCATGGAGTGAAAGAGCTCTATTGGGGAGCTCTGGGGATCCATCAAATTGGAGACACTTACTGTGGTTAAAGTGGCTTGGCTTCGTTTCTCGAAACTCCTCAAGGCTTGCAACACTCACGGACACTGTGGCAGAACTCTCACGTGAAATCATCCCAGTACCCGCAGACCACAAATAACCATTCTTTTCGTCTCTCTATGATTTCTATATTGCTAAACTGCACCATTATTAAACAAAAGTAAACAACTTTGCAAGCAAACAAAAATAAGTACTGTTTTTCTTCTTTTTTTAACATATATTTTGATCCTCTTCGTTGTGGAATAAACAAAGCCATGCATATATACAATTTTATACTTACTTTCTTGGGTTGCTCGCAATCATAGATTTTAGCAGTTTTTAAACATGGCTGAAGTGGGATCCAATACTCTGCATTAGAATCATTGCAATTGCAATACCTACTGAATGGAATGATGAAGACTGAGACAGGCTCGAAAAGGTTTTAACATTTTCTCCAATTTATTCTTCGAAACTTGCTCGGTCAAATTGGATGTTATATATATAAAAGAAAACATTAACAAATAACAATAGTCGTGGCAGCAACACACATGGTGCAAGTGCAGATTCCAGCTGCTAAACCCCTATAATCGATGAACCATCTGTACTCTGAATGGATTTGAAGTAATAATTCGAGAGAGAGAAAGACTCTCTCTGCTGCATCTATGTGTGTATTATGCGAGTGTCTGACTGTCTGATGAGAGAGAGAGAAAGAGAGGACAGAAAAGAACATGCCTCTTTCTTCCTCTCGCGAAGAAAGGCCCCTCTCTTCTTTCTTCTCAGGAAATTGGTGAACGAATTGAAGGCTAAAGAGAAGGGCAATAAATGGGATTTCACAAAAAGTAGAGATGAAGAAAAACTAAATAAAAGAAACCCAACACCTGCCACGTGTTGCAATTAAATGGGCATTGGATGTGTCAAAACAAAAAAGTGGAGTGGTGTGTAGTTGAGCTCGTGTATCAGTAACTATGAATCTTGCCAGCTGTCATATTGGATTTTCTTATCCTGTGTTTTCCCTCGTCGCATAATATATGCACTATGAATGAATATGTTTGGTCAGAAAATTAGCGTGTTAGATTATAAAATTGAAAAAAGCAGGGGAAAAGAAGATGTGCATTGCGAAGGTAATGGACTCACGGTTTTGTGGCTGTGTTTGGTTGACCAGAGACCAAGCCGAAAATATAGGTCCTATTAGAGAGACCGTGCGCTCCTAGTTTGATTGTGTGTGGTCATCATAAACCATAATAATAGAATCCATGTGTCATAAGATTATGACAGCAAAAATTCCTATTATAATGCCGGGACCGGCCTGGCCCAGCCTTAGGCGTGGTGGTGGGTTTCAAACTTTTTAGATGTTTTGGACCAAAAATATGTTTTGACCCAAAAACAAAAAAGAAAACTTTTGAGATGTAATAGCCTTTTCAAAACATAGCCTAAACTCATTCCTAAGCATTTAGATCTAAAAAGACAGTAAAAAGTTTTCATTATTACGAGTAATTTATGCAGAGTTTAAAGATTTTAAAAGTGTTATAATTTTTTGTTATCAATTAAAATTTAATTGTTACCAGTACATGGTACTCTCGGAATCGATGCTATTTGCCTATGATTGTTAATTGTTAATAAGAATGTACAAACGTAGGGGGCAATAATTGAACCGGTTCCAGCAAGCGTGAAGCTAAAGGAAAGAGTAAGACAACAAACAAGCAACGATAGAAAGATCAACATTCTATGGCCCTTTTCAGTTTTCATTATGTGTGTATGTATATATTTTTTTAGTTTTCATTATAAACTGAAAAACTAATGTGCAGAGCAATTACTTCAGAGAAATATGTATCAATTGTCTTGATTCATTGGACTGATGTGTTGGAGTCACTTGTACATGATGAGTGAAAGTGTAGTTATTCTTGAGAGGGTGAGTGATTTGCACTTCATAGTGGCCATGAAAAAGGGGGACCTCAAGGAACCCATTTTGGTCTGTCGTCCCTGATAATTTTTTTCTTAGCCCCCACTCATGAAGTAGCTTGTCCACAACATTCCCCGCAGGCAAGTTCCTGAAATTGTTATCTACTAAGCAAATCTTATAGCAACCTTGTGGTGACCATGCTGTCCACATTACAATGCCCCTAACACTTGGGTGGGAGTGTGCTTCTCTAAGAACAAGCTCGAAGTTCTGTGTCTGCACAAATCATAAAATGGAAAACTTTAATGCATAAATAATTGGGTAAAACACAAATCACATTTTGATGCAGAGATCAGCACAACACAAGCAATGTGTCTGACATGTATTATCAACCAAGCTGCACATGTTATGATATTCTGCCAACAAAATCAAATTGTTGCATGACAAATAAGAGGAGGATAATAACTTGGTTTGGTGTTGTTGAACTTTACCTGCCTAGGTTGGTTTGCAACATCTATTTCTGTCATCCAAATTGGAAAACCAGTGGCAGCTAGGTAATCAATGGAAGATCTCATGTAGGGAAGGTTAACACTAAAACCAGGGAAGTGGGCCTCGAGGCCAATTCCAATCGGTAATCCCCTATTACCAGGATAGCTTTGGATCTGTCTGATCTTCTGGACATACCTTGCTGGGGTTGATGCACCATCTCTACTATCCTCAACGGTATTATATTCATTCAAGAATAAAGTGGCTTGTCCATCAATATAGTGAGCCTCATTGAACATCCTGGCTGAAAAATTTAGTCCAAGTTTACTTTCAAAGAATGAGAAGTGAAGGTTTTCATTAACAACATCCCAAGCAATAACTTGGCCCCTATATCTCGACACAACAGATCTCAACCTCCTTTCCACAGCTGAGTTAAGCTGGTAAGGTGAGAGTGAAGGAACCCAACTGGGTTGATAATGAGGATCATCCCAAAATATATTATGGCCGCGAACAGCAATATTGTGTTGCTTGGCAAACTGCAGCATGTTATCAGCAACCGCGTAGCTTTCCCTGCTTGGACTATATTCATTGCTGTACCACTTCATTTCATTTGCAAATGTGGTGACTGTGAATCTAGAGGTGAACCAGTTTTGGTATAACCTATTGTTCAGGATGTAATTATTCATGGCACTCCCAAATGGAAAGCCTGACCTCAGCTGTGTAAAAGCTATGCTTGCATTTGGTAAAGGTTTTCCTTGTTCATCTACTACTTGGACTAGAGCTTTCCTCTTACGAGCCTGCCAAAGGCAAATCAGAAAATATCACACAATACAAACATTAAAAAACAAATATCTTTGGGAACCATTCAATTTAGAGCTTTACTATAACCTCCTAATAATCTTCCTACTATGTTGGGAATTTCCTTAAGTTTCATCAAAATTCTCCTAGTTTTAACACAAACTCTATATCTTGATATGTTCATGAGGCCTTTGGCAAAGGTTATACATGTAGTGGAAACCTATAACAAATGTGTACCTTCTCAATGCTTTGATACTGATGAGACCTCCATTCCTCTTCGGTGAATGGTTGTAACGAAACGCTGTCTATCCAAATTTCGACAGAAGTACTGTTGCTCTACAAAATTCAGCATTTAGAAGAGTTAAGAAAATTTGGGAAATTAATATAACTTAGACAAAATAAATTGAAAAAAAAAAAAAACCTTGCTTCCCATTTCCTCATTAGTACAGAAATGAGAACAGGTTGTTAAAGTTTTTCATGAATAGTTCATGTGAAATTTTACAACTAAAGAACCCATCCTTGTACTTAAATACAATTATCAAGAACCCCAAAAAATACCTCAAAATAGAGTTCAGCTGCTCCTGATGTATCTGCTGTGAAACCACCCTTAAGCATAGACCAGCAATTTGACTCGGCCAAAATGATACCAGCAAATTTGTATCCATCATTTGTTTTTACAACTGCTGTTACGGGAACATTTCCCTCACTCACTTGTATCCAAGCTGCATGATTTCAACCCATAACCATTAGTGAAGAATAATTGCATATGGGTTATTGATCTAACACTTAAAAATAAATAATGGTCCTACAGATGGAGGAACTATGCATAATTAGCAATATTTGAGCACAAACTTTACCGGATAAAGTATAATGATTATCCTTCTTCAGGTTAATCTTCTGGGAGACACTATCATGCACTTTATTTCTGCCGTGGGCTACCACATATTTGTTACCTGATGTTTCTCTATGTTCTATTCTTGAGCCCCCATATGGAGTCCACCCTTGTAGTCCATCATTCAGTTCTGGGTTTTGGATGATTCCTCCATTATACTGAGGCTTATGTGGGTATGCCAAACACTGAATTGAAAACATGTAACAACCACGATTAGAATAAAAATTTCAGTTTTATATGCAACACCCTTGAAATAAATGCTGCTGAGAGTTAACTCACTTCGATGCTGGCAGTGTAATCATAGGATAACGCTTCAGCTTCAAAACCTGCTGTGGCAAATGAGATATATTAGTTCTGCATAATCTGACAAACTTTCATTCATCGATAACATAGTCAGCAACTGAATGAATAAAATCACGTGCAGGAACACGCTGCGAGGCTTTGGTAAAACCCGAGTGTGTCAATTGTTAATCACGATTACTCACTGTAACTTTCTCCAGCTAAAATTTATCTAAATAATGTTTTTATCATTTTATTTTTCTACTGGGTTAAGATTATGAGGTGTCTTAATTCTGAATAACTCAATTAATCTTTATTAGTAGTTCCAATTAAGAATTTTACACATACTACAATACTAATACAAAGTTCTTACTAAATAAATTGATCGTAAGTGTAAATCTAATATAATCTTTCACCATTGTATTAAGTATTTGAGTTAATTTTTAAAAAAAGAAATTAATGATACAAGTATTTTAAATAATTTTCTGTTAAATAAAAGCTTCAAAAGATACATAAAAATGACAGAAATTTCTCAAAATTGGAGTTTTTTTTTTCTTGTTATTCTTAAATATTTATTCTTAGTATTGTACCTAAAATAAATAAATAAATACACGTGCTTTTTTATGCCTCCACGTCCGCAATCACTTCCACCCCTCTATTGTGGCTTTTCCATTTAGGAAAAAGAACATACCTTTTAAGGTAATGCAAGTTGAATGACTTTTGCATTCTTGTTTCCATTAATAAATACTAATTAGTTTCCCAGCAAAAGTAAAAAAATAATAATTCAAAAGCATATTTACTATAATAAAATATAAAATCATTTAACATTAATTTTTAAATAATTAAAAATATTTAAAAGAATATATTAAAGTATTAAATATTTCTTATTCTTTCGTTGATAAGATCCTTTTCTTTTATATATAAACAAATTTGGTATATTTTTTGGGAGATTTTTTCCTTTTTTAGGGGACAAATATTTGTTATTAGTATACTTAGAAATTTTCATCTTAATCACTTATTGTCTCAAAAAATTACTTCCTTTTGTTTTTTTTATTATTTTATACGCTCACATGTAGCTAATAATTAAAATGGCTGGTTTTTTTTTTTTTTTGTATCATGAATATAAATTAATTTTTGTATGTTTACCAAAAAAACTTAAATTTTTTTTGCATCATGAATGCAAATAAATTTTTGCAACAACAATTTATTGCCATTAAGTGGGTCTGAATTGAAAAAATAAATAAAAATGTTAAGGATGACAATAAATGCTCTGCTAGTTGTATTAGATGTCCTCTAAAGCTTAGATTTGGAAAGAAAAAAAAATGGTATTTAAGTTTGCATGGCAAACTCATTTTGCTAGTGAAGCAAGTGGTATTGCTTTTATTAAGCTTAAATAGTTTTTTAATCTTGTGTAATATTATACAGATAAAAATATATATAATAAATAATTATTAAAAGTTGCAACATTTTATGTAATTCAATACATTAGAACTAATAAATATTTTAATTTTAATAAAAAATCACTATATATAATTTTTTTCTTGTATAATATTGTATAGATTAAAAAATGACTTTTTTATATGGAAAACAAATAAAAAAAAATACTAAAATAGGATGTTTTATAGAAAAATTTAAAAATATGAGAATTTTTTACACTAGCCATAACATTCACATCGGCATTTTTTTGGTGCTTAAAATTTTTATATTATTTTTTAAACAATTGTTATGCACAAGTTTTGACTTTTAACCATTTTTTAATATTTTTTTAAAAAAATTCTATTAAAAATTTTTAAGTTTCATATTTCTATATATATATATATATATATATATATATATATTAATTATTATATTTTGATATATATAGTTTTTTAATTCCATATATAAAAAAGACTAAAAAAATCATATTTTAAATATAAACAATGCAGATGCTGTGCTCATTAAAGGAAAAGTCTAAGAATGAATACATGCAAAATAATAAGAAAAAACATCAAAGTACACACACTTTGTTGGTGTGAATTGAGAAATTATAACTGGTTAGTGACTAAGTGATGCATGTTTGGTGGTATTGATATTGATGGGAAAACTTTGAATAGGAGAGATACGTGTACGTAGGAAAGAAAGCAAACCTGGGAAAAGGATGAAACAGAGCAGAATGGCGAGACTCATGTTTTTGTTTCCAACCTGCAAAGCTACCTCAGTTCAGTTAGTTTTCTTGATATGGGTTTCAGTGAATACATTCAAGAATTTATGAAAGGAGAGTTATGTGATGGAGACATTCAGATGTTACCAATGAAGAAGACGCTACAGAGGTGTGATCTCATAAGTAAAGCAACCTTCCGTTTTATATGCACAATTTCTGTGTAATATGGCATAAATGGTTTTTTTTTTATTTCACAACCTCTATTCAATGCATCTCATTTATTTCCATTCAAATGAAACGCATTGTAACTTTGCCATTCATTTCCATTGTTGTTTCTGTTTTATTAGCCCCACTCATTATAAACATGTAAAAGTATTTATTTTTTTAAATATTTATTATATTATAAATACAAAACTTTAATAAATACATTTTTTTAATGATTTTTTTCAAAATTTTCTTGTTTTCATTATTTAGTTTTTAAATACAATAAAAAATTAGTAACAAAGTTCATTGAAAATACAATATTTAATAATATCAATGCATTGAATGTTATTATTTTTAATTAAAATTTACTATGTATAAATTATGAGTTCTGTTAACTTTAAATATTAATATTGAGTTTGAGCTTTTTTTTTAAATGAATATATTTATTTTATTAAATTAATAAAAAATAATTATTATTTTTAATAGAATTTTATTATTAATGGATATTTAAACTCATCTCTAAAGACTAAAGTTAATATGTTATATATGTATGTTCTTAGGTACGAATTACAAAATTCTAATATTTTAAAATAAATAAATAAATGTGGCATTTTGAATTTATTACTAAAATTAAATTTTAAAATCATTATTTAATCAAACAAGCTCTCAATTTAATTCTATATTATAAAATTTAAGTTATTGTTCTTGAAAACAATATAAATTTTTGCACCTATTCTTTTTAGGTATATAGATATGTCTCTTTTTATTATTTAATTAAATTTGTTATTAGAGATGTATGAACTATAAAAGAATTTAACTCAAATATATTCATAGTGTTTTTTTTTCACTATTAGCTAATTATAAGTTGTCATATTAACAAAAATAATAATATTTGTAATAAATGTTTAAAATTTATATACACAATTACAATGTATCAAAATTTAACTTAATTATAAATCAAATTAAATACTATTTCTATGTTTCTTAAATATTTGATAAAATTAGTATCATAAATATTTTTAAAAAGCAAATTAAAGTTAAGTGAATCTTTAAAGGAAAACGAGTAATTGAAGTATTAAAACTATTTTATAAAACTTTTTTATACTTATTATAATTTTGTATGTTGTAGTAATCACCTAACATATTTAGAAAATTATTAAATAATAAAATAAGTTAGATTTACCAATTCTTATAAAAGTACTAGTTCGTAATATGTACTTTAAATTTATACTAGTATTCAGTTTTTGTTAAAAAAAAAAAAGGAACTATTAAAATCCAATACAATCAAAGTTTTTATTCATATCAATATAGAGACAAATATTATACACTCTTTTTTTTAATCAAATAAAATACTTGCTCTATTTGTACGATGCTATATTTGAACTCTACCTTTTTTTATCGACTTTTTTTTTTTTTTTGTAAACTTTTATCGACTTTTGAACTTTACCTTTTAGTATTTTGAAGATTTGTGGGCTGGAAATTTTTTACGGTCACGTTGAGGTGGGTTTATTTATAATCGAATTAAGATCGGATTGCATGTAAGTGGGCCAATCTTTTGGTTTTGGTTATGGGCCCATCTTAAATCTATTTGTGTTTGGTTGGGATGTGTGTGGGCTGGGCCTTAAATCGAATTTTTCTTGATTGGGATGTATCGAACTGCAAGGGGACTTGTTCAAGTTCTTGTTGACCACATGACATTGTGAAAAAAGAAAAGTCAACAAATTGTTGTTTAAGTTAGCACGAGTATGTACGTGACCACCATGCAGGTCCATGCTGCTGCGCATCTCATTCTCGCGAAATTACAGAGGAGACCACCGCGAAGCTTCCTCAAGTAATGGAGGCATTTTCTACGTTAAATTATTCGATAAGTTTAGATTGTTCCATTTTAATTTTTAATGGGTTCTCACGAACCAGTTTTGCGTGGACTATACGAGTATTTTTAAATTCTAAAATATAAATAATAATAAAAATTACAAAATAATGTTAAAGAAGTTATAAAATATTTGTTAGTAATAATAAAAAGGTTAAATTATAAATTTAATCTATATACTTATATGATTTTTCAATTTAGCTTGTATACTTAAAGAGTGTATAATTTGGTTCTTATATAAATAAATATTTTTAAATTAGTTTTTATCATTTTAAAATATGTTTTGAATGTTAAAATTTATAACCCATGATTTAACAAGAGTTTACATCGTATAGTTGGCTAATATAGTACTGCAACACAATGAGTCACACTAGAAGATATAATACTAAAATGAGTACTGAAATTAGTCATTTGAGCATGAATCATAAAATTAAAGTAATTATTTGTGAATTTGCAGTTAGCGTGAAAATAAATATTATAATTCTATTTTAGTGAAAAAAAAAATGACACAACTTTATTAGTTCATGCCTTTTTTTTCCTTAATTACGCATTTCATCTTTAAATTAACATATTTTAAAATAATATAAATTAATTTAAAAATATTTATTTATATAGAACTAAATTATAAACTTTCTAACTACAATGAACAAATTAAAAAATCATGTAAATATACAAACTAAATTTTGTAATTTTATTTTATTTTATTATTAAAAAATAATTTATTTAACTACACATACTCACTATGGTTGTCCTGACAAATATTATATATATATATATATATATATATATATATATATATATAATATTATTTGTTTGAAGTCAAATAGGTTTTTATTTATTATTATTATTATTGTTGTTGTTATTATTATTATTATTATTATTATTATTATTAAGATTTATTCTCCTTTTCAATAACTCATATTTTTTCTTGCATCAGCTATATTTAATTTCAAAGCATGCATACTTAAATTAGTCAATTGTCAAATTATATTTTATGTTTTAAAAATTGGCATAATATATTAAATTAATAGATCTTGAGATGATAAATCTTGAATTATTATTTGTTGTAATTTTAAATTTCAGCTGTGTTATTTGTTTATTTATTAAAATAAAATATTCAGTAACAAATATTAAAAATAATATTTGTATTATATCTTTTAAAATAGCTAATTTTATCATTATTGAATAATATATTTTATTTTTATTTAAATTTAATATATTCATACAATATACAAAATTTTGATCAAATTAATGAATTTAAAAATTTAAATGCAAGTTTTTTAGTATATAAATGTATGTTTGAAATTCAAATAATTTAAAACGACAACTATATAATAAAATTATAATTTAAATTTTCGAATGGGGTTTTATCATTCTTAAATTCATAAATAATTTAAAATGCTAGATTTATATTATGACTTTTCTTTTAATTTATCATTATATATATCTTTGTATATATAACGTGATTAAGCATTTATTAGATGTGCATTTAAATTATAACTTGTTTATTAAAATTATTGAAATTAATTTAAAAATTTATTTTAATAAACTTCATAAAAATATTAATTTTTTTAAAATACTTATAAAAACAATAAGTGATTTTATAAACTTAAATAAATTTCATATAAATGCATCGAAATAGCCTTTTAGTTGTATATATTATCAATGTATGGTTTGATTCTTTTTGTTCTCAAATGAAACAAACACAAATCAAAATATCAAGTATTTTTCCTTTGTAGTTTATACAAAGGTTTAGTAGGATTAGTTTTACATCAACTAAATTAATTAGATAATTATCCAAAATGATTAACTTAACAGGTAAGAGTTACGGTAATGCTCGCAAATTGCAGCGTTGACAGCTAATGAGAGAGAGAGAGAGAAAGCATGTGTAAATTTCCTATCCCTCCGTGTAACGTGTGAAAGGGATGTGCCACTCAGCAGCGAGTGATGTAAGCAAAGTATGAGCATAAGAACAAAACCAATACTTATCTGACACGTCAATATCGTGTCCCGCTGATCCACTGCAGGTGCATCTGGGGGCGGATTTGTCGCGAAGTACAGGATTATCCCCGCGGGTTAACGGCGGAAACTTCGATTAAGTGAAGGACCATTAACGTAACGATCAGAATTAAGGGGTTTTGTTTTGCATCTTTAATCTCTATCACTTGGCTCAGAGAAGAGAACCGAAAACACTTTCGCCATTCTGTGATTTTCTCAATTTCTTTGGCGGGAAAACGAAGAGGGATGAATATCGGAATGTTGCAAGAATTGGAGGGAGTTCCAAGAGTGACAGAGACAACAGAGATGGGGGTTTCGGATAATTGCAAGGGGTTGATACTTGCGGTGTGTTCTAGTGCATTCATTGGTTCAAGCTTCATCTTGAAGAAGAAGGGTCTTAAGCTTGCTGCTGCACGCGGCACTCGTGCAGGTCAGTTTTCGTTCTCCGCTTTTTGTTCCAAATGCATTTAACAATAACCGTTCAGTTTCAGATAGTTTCAGTGTTTTAGATCTGATCCATGATATACTTATGCTTCCTTGGCTTGTGATCCAGTTTTTTTATGAACGAATTTTGAATTTGCAGGAGTTGGTGGTTATACTTATCTGCTAGAGCCACTTTGGTGGGCTGGTATGGTAACAAGTAAGTTTCGCAACTTGATTTTTTAAAATTTTTTTTTTATCTGGTTGTTGGTTTAATGAGTCTTTTAGAAATGAAACTAATTTGGATCTTCAACTATTTGCTTGTAGTGATTATTGGGGAGGTTGCAAATTTTGTGGCTTATATATACGCTCCGGCTGTTTTGGTTACTCCCCTTGGTGCACTTAGTATTATTGTCAGGTACTCTGTGATTTAATAGAAATATTGTAAGGTCTGGTGAATATAGTGTTTTTTTTTTTTGGGTTGTTGTTGAACTAACATATCTAGTATATATTGCCAGTGCTGTTTTGTCTCACTTCTTGTTGAAGGAACGGCTTCCCAAGATGGGGGTGTTGGGATGTGTATCTTGCGTTGTGGGATCAATTATTATTGTTATCCATGCACCACAAGAGCATACTCCGGATTCTGTCCAAGAATTATGGGATCTGGCCACTCAACCAGGTTGGATTTTTATCGCATTTTCATTTTACCCTTAAAGTAGACTCCTATATTCTAGTCTTTAATTGATCTTTGATGTTCTCGATCCCCCCCCCCCTCCCCTTTTTGTACAACAGCATTTCTGATTTACGCGGTGGCAACAGTCTCAGTAGTTTTGGCCTTGATCATACACTTTGAACCTCTCTATGGACAGACTAACATGGTTGTCTATTTGGGAATTTGTTCATTAGTTGGCTCACTTACGGTAACTATGTTTGCACATTATCCAAATTTCATGCTGGCATTGTAAGACATGAACTAACTTTATGGTAATCTGTATTTTTTAAATTATTCAGGTTGTGAGCACAAAGGCTATTGGAATTGCTATAAAGCTTACCCTTGATGGAATAAGTCAAGTAGCCTATCCTCAAACTTGGTTTTTCCTTTCTGTGGCCACAATATGTGTCATTACACAGTTGAATTACCTAAACAAGGTGAGTGCAGTGCAGTGTTACAAATTTTGGATGGTGCACCTAATAACTGACCCATAAGCTATATTGTTTTATTAATATGTTATTGGGCAATTTTTCCAGTTTGGCCTGAATTGGATTCATGATTCATGGGACAAAGCCTCTTGGATTTTGTTACTATGATTGTTTTTTAAGATGAAAACTGATCAAAAGGCTGGTCTTCTAGTTTAGATAACTAGAGCAGAAGAACAGAGCTTTTTGAATTAGATTAGTTAAGATTCAAGATAAAAGTTAAACTGCCTATAAAGTGATATCTCTGAAAATTTGGTTTTCTACTGAGCCCAGTAGTGTATGATCCATGTAGGTTTAGGGTTTAGGGTTTAGGGTTAAGACTTTGTTGTTGTATTGAGGAACCCTTCCCCTCTAATCCTTTATGCATAGCTATAAAAATCTAGTCATAGTTTCCAGCTAGGAGCTGGTCATTGATGATAGATAACCGAAAAATGTCCTAATTGATTTGTTGACTACATTTCAGCTTGGTATGAAGTACTGTAGACTGCAAAATAATGCACTGCACTTGATAGGAATCTAGAGCAAGAATGTAGTTGACTCTGGATCAAGCATTCTGGATTCTCATGTTTGTGCTGGAAAATAAATTTAGGTTTAGAACTGAATACAAATCTTGAAAGCATTCCCCGATGAAATATATTCATAGAAGTATAAAACACAATCTTGTGAACAGCTCTGTTCTCTTTGTATGTAATTATACTTGGTATAAATAGTTTTTCCATCCATATACCTGATCCAAAGTCCAAAATCATTATTTTGATTCTGAGTTGCAAACGGATGAACAGAATTCCAGGAATGTTTCTTCAACCGATATACATCTTTGGGTTCCTACTGATATCAATATTACTTATCATCCATCTATCTTATAACTCATTCTTTTAGCAAACCTAAAGCTTATTTTACTATTCAACTATGTTTCAGGCTCTGGATACATTCAATACAGCAATTGTTTCTCCTGTATATTATGTTATGTTCACGACTCTTACTATCATTGCCAGTGCAATAATGTTTAAGGTATGATTACAAGTTTATGTTTCTTTGATTCCTTTGGTGATATCAAACATTTTCTTTTTGTTAAACAATAGGATGTGACAAACTTGAATATTACTTTCAGGATTGGTCAGGCCAGAATGTCAGCAGCATAGCATCTGAGATATGCGGATTCATCACTGTTGTTTCAGGAACAATTATATTGCATATGACTAGAGAACAGGAAGAACCTAATATGCAAGGTACAGAATAACATGTTACTTATAATCTAATGCATGCAAGTTTCCATTTGTTTGTTAATGCTTTATAGCCTGTCTTACAAGTTACAACTCAGACTGATTTCTCTATAGCAATTAAATCAAATGAAGTGATGGTGTCTTCTCTATTTGATGCAGGGACCTTGACATGGTTTATCGGGGAGGATATGGTGAAGGGTGTTGAAGATGAACGCCTGATCATAATACACGATTCGGATTATCTTGAACGTTGACTTTTCCTTCAAGGTTAGGTCCATGTGATATTACATTTTTTATCCGCAATGGTAAAATGATGTGAACCTGCCCTTGGTCGCATGATGTGGTGCTTTTGCAGTGTGGATTGCTTGTCCGGGAACTTAATAAATTCAAGCATCCACGGTGCTCTATAGTTTTCTGATCATTTTCGTGGAGGCTGTTTGCACACCGCTGTTGACTGGAGCCATCTCAGAACACTTGTTGTATGCTAATCGTGATTCAAGTGCTGCATCATTTTCCTGATAAAATGTGACTGCTGTCTCATTGCAGCAAGCGAGATTTTTGTAGCAATATCATGCCATGTTCTATTTCCAGGGCAGGCAGTGTAATTTTTTCTTTTATTATTTTTATAGGAAGTGAGCAATTGTTCATATCGATCCGTCAACACATTCTCATATATTTATTTATTTAATTACTAGATTTATTGTTTCTTTTCTTTGTTTGATAAATGATAGATCCGTTGGCTTCTGATAAAGCTGTTGAAGCCAAAGATATTTATTTGGTAGATTCCTCGCATTTGTTTTTATAAGTAAGAGTTTTAATAAAGTAATAATTTTTCAACAAGTAAATGTAGTTGATTGTCCTCTGTTTATCTAATTTTATATTAAATAAATGGTTAGGATATAACAATTTTTAGATAAATATTTTGGATAATAACAAATTAATAATGTTAATGTAAAAGAGAAATGAACTTGATAATGTAAAAGAGCAATGAACATTAGAATATGAGAAATATGTTTCTCAGTCTTATTGAAAGGAATAATCTAATGCTCACTAAATAAGCCGATACATAATTGATGCACCATAAAATTAGAGATATTTTGCATAATATGAAAGTTGAATTAAACTCCTAAAATAATTGAAATAGAAAATAACTAAACTCTATGGAGTAAAATTTTTCTTAATACTTAATCAATAAAAATAAAAATATTATTTTCTTTACAATCTTTCCCTTAAACTAAACATTGCACATAATTATATATAATACATATCATAACATTTCAATATAATTTCAATTATATGTAAATGAATAATTGCGTTAAACGTGTACTTAATGAGAATTTGCAAGTCATAAGCAATCCTAATGAGAACCAGAGAGTTATATTTATTTTCAATCAGAGAGTTATATTTATTTTCAAGTGAGCGTATACTACTCTCTTCTGGGATTACTATTATCCCACGCTGTACACTAGTAACTGTTTAATGGGGTAACAATTATATAAGTCTAATCAGATGAGGGTAGGAATCTCTCACTAGGAACATAGAATGGTTCAACCTATCACAGACTATTCACACTAAGAGTCCAATTACAAAATCTATATAATAATAATAATTACTATTATACACATTTATTTTACGTCATAATAAACAACAATATAACCATAATAATTTAATAATGTTAATCCACAAATTAATATAAATATTAATATTAATGTTAGAAAATCTAACATTCTTCCACTTGGATAACATCATTAAATTACTAAGTCCACAAACTATATCATTATAACAAGTTATTAATTATCATTAAATAAATAATAAGCTCTCGATAGTATACAATTATATCCGATAGGGATATACATCACATACTGCAAACAACTTATATTCCAATCACAATATAGATAAAAGAAACATAAGTATTATTTCCACAAAGGTCCAAGCATAAAAAAAGTCATAAAAGATATCTCAATAAAAGTGACGTCAACAAAATATATATCTCATAATGAAATAATGTCAATAAGCCAATACAAAATTAAACTCCCACTAATCCAAAATATCAAAAGACTTGACTAGGCCCATGTGAACTACATGATTCTAGAAAGCTCAAACAGTCAAACCTTTGATTAGTGAATATGCTAACATGCTCTTTGTAACAATGTACTCAATTCGAGTATAAAAATTAAGTACTTTCTCTCTAACAAACAAATACTTATATCAAAGTGTTTCAAATGAGTCGAACTCGTATTATTCTAAGAGAGAAGTACAACAGCAATATTGTCGCAATAAATCATAAGTGACCTAAATATCATCTCAATCATGCGGAAGTCAAAAATTAAATTCTTTAGCCACATAGCCTAGCGGGTAGCCTCATAACAAGCAACATACTTTGCCTTCATAGTAGAAGTAGCTATAACTGTCGGTTTGATACTCTTCCAAGATATAGCTCCTCCCTCCATCTTAAAATAAAGTATGAAATAGACTTATGGTCATCAGGGCAACCTACAAAATCAGAGTATCTAATGACCTGAAGTTGATCAGGCTTCACATAGGTCAACATATAATCTTTGGTTCCCTGCAAATATCTCAAGACCTTTTTCACGGCTTTCCAATTACCCAAACATTGGTTACTTAAGTATCTGCCCAAAGCATTAACATCATAAGTAATATCGGGACGAGTGCAGACTTAAGGATACATCAAACTCCCAACAGCGAAAACATATGAAACTTTTTCTATTTTAAACAACTCTCTATCATCATGAGGACACTGAGAATTAGAGAGTTTCTTACCCCTTTAAAGAGGAACGACACATGGGGAGTAAGAATACATATTGAACCTCTAGAGGATCCTATCAATGTATCCTTTCTGAGACAATTCAAGAGTAACACGAGATCTATCATGACATATTTGGATGCCTAGAACAACAAAAACATCACCAAGGTATTTCATATCAAAATGGCTACTCAACATATTTTTTTATCTCATTCCAAAATATCATCAACATATAAGACAAGGATGATAAAATTGCTCCCACTCATCTTCAAGTAAATGCACATATCTGAAGCATTTTCCTTGAAGGCAAAAGAAGTGACCACTTGGTCAAACTTCAAGTACCACTGTCTAGAAACTTACTTCAAATCATAAATAGATTTTATTATTCTAGAATTAAATTGAAGTTATAAAAAAAATTTATTTATGTTAGTACACACAAAATATTCAACAATTTATCTCCCACTTGGATAACATAAATCAAAACATCTAATTATTCTAGACAACATGATTAAACAATGTGGTTTAATATTTTGACATATAATTAATCTGGAATTAAATTTAAGTTATAACAAAATTGATTTATATTAGTCCACACATAAAATATTTAACACTTTATCTCTCACTTGGATAACATAAATCAAAACAACATATTATTCCAAATTAATCAACAATATGTGGCTATAACAAAATACCAAAATAAGATAACACGAACTATAAGCATTATAATAATGCAAAAAATTATTCGCGAAGGATTAGTAATATAATACATTATAAGATACCTGTATCATGTGACTCAACAACTCTAGTGATATAAGTAGGACAATAAAATTTAGAACCCCTAGAGCCTACACAATATCCTACAAAGAAACTGTTAATTATTTTTATGAACAATGAAAGATAGTAAACCTTTTTCTGTTTTATAAAATTTCAAAAGTTTCTTGTCTAAAGACATTATAAAATTTCACAAGTTTTGCGATGAATTTTTGTCAAAGAATTTGTCACTAATCTATCTGCGAAGGATTTTGTGACTAAACTTCTTAGTACTACTTATCTTAAGAACATTGTCTATAGTAGATTTCATAATTACTAGATATATTTTATTAGAATGAGCCCATTTATCATGTTTTACTATAACAACGGTAAAAAATTTAGGTGTGGAAACCTTAGACTCATTCTTACGAAGGGTAACATTAACACTAGAAAATGACAAGGAACAATTTAACAAAGTCTACTTAGTCCTCATAATTAGTCCTGTTCAAAATTTTCACCGAAATGAGCATAGACACTAATGTGGAAAACTATAAAATTTAATATGCGCAATTAATTCAAGTGCAACAATAATATGTCTATCACAAAGTTTTTTACTTTCCCACTAAGGGTCCCATATCACCAAAAATAAGAAAGACAAATACGATGCACAAAGCTTCATGTCACAGGAATCCTAACACTGATAGGGTATCAGTACAAAATTGACATAAGCAAAACACAACTGCATGGTATTTGCAAATCACATTAATAACAACACATCGATAAGATATAATTATTATTAATACAATATATAATTATTTAATTTACACAAGTCATGTATAAATGATTTCAAGATAGGTGAGATCACATTTATACAGAATAATCATGCATTCAAAATTAATTTAAATATGTATGTTATGCATGAAATCATAATTATACCACAATTAAACCAAAAAAAATAAAATATAACACATGTGACATTCAAAAGGAGAGTGAATAGTATAAAAATGTCATAAATATCAAATATTAGTATAATCATGTATATAAAAAAAAATTTGGATCATATTCCATTAATACAATTTTTATGTAATCAATTTAGGCACGAGTTAATTAATTAAAAAATATTTACAGTGCCTAATAAAATTATAAAAATTGTCCAAAATATCAACAATTTAATTTCAAAGGGATTAAAAAAAAATTGGGCCCAAATGGACCCCTAGAGCATCTTCCACCCGACACACTCTCTCAACCCCGCGAGTGGGCTTCATACACCTAAAACAAACCATCAGCTGCAAAATGGGTCCAACAAACTGGAGAAACCCGACACAGTTCAATCTTGCATTCTAGAGCACCAATTAATGTCATTCCAAAGCCATATAGGTGTATTTTGAACAAAAAAGAGAGTTTCAAAGGTTAAAACCCACGCAGCCATGGAGGATTCGAGGTGAGAATTTGAGCAACTCAGATAGTTTCTTTCAACTAGTAGGTTCCACTACGTTCTTTGTGATGTATACAACAAAAGCCTTATGACTACTTGTTGAAAAAGGTTTTTGTTTAAAGGAATTGAATCGAAACAAAAATAGGACAATGATGAATGCAAAAGGAAAGAAAGAACAAATTATCAATCTAAATTGAATGAAATAAAGAATTTAATTATTAGATTATATTTGTGTTCAATTTATTAACTAAAGCCCTTAATCAATTTCAAATAAACCTTTGCTCTTTTGAGAGAATTTGAAAGAAAATGATTTTAGAGTTCATAGTTTCAAAAATTAATAAACTGTGAAATTCTCTTAACATACCCAATAAAAATTAATAATATTTGGATATGATATTTATGAATATAAGAGGAACAGAGCCCTAAATTAGTTTTCAAATTCATACATAAAATTATAGCATTTTGATTGCTCAAAGTTGGATAATTATAATGTGTATTAAGTTGGCTCTGATACCAATTACAGAAACTTTAAATATAAAACTAAAGATACCATAATTATATATAATACACATTATAACATCTCAATATAATTTCAACTATATGTAATTAAATAATTGTGTTAAATGTGTACCTGATGAGAATCTGAGTCATAAGTAATTCTGATAAAAACCTTCCAAATTAATCTATGTTTAATTATTTTTATGA